TAAAAAAAAAAAAAAAAAAAAAAAAAAAAAAGTCACATTCTCATCTCTAAGTATTTATTGCATAATCACCATGTGTTAGGATACCACGTTGGGAGTTAGGGATATAAAGAAGCAGGAGTTATTGTCCCTTTGCCTTACATCAGATGACCACATGTATATTGACAGGAGACACTTGACAACTTAAATTATGCCTCTCTACGGGCATTCAGCTGTTCCTTGATATGCTCAGTTAAAAAGAATTCAGATGACTGACCTTCAGGCCGTGGAATGTTGACTAAAAATGACCAATAAACCCAACTCTAGTCCTTTCTATAAAACTAATCTCATCTGCTTGTTTTCTCTGTGGCTAGCAGCTTGGAATAGGGTATCTGGTTTTTCACTGGTGGACTGTAACAATAACAAAATCACTTGTAAAAGAGTTTGCCTATGCTTTGGATTACCAAACTGAAGCCCTAGTTTTTAGTTAAGATGTTGTATGAAAATAAAACTCTTTTGGAGTACAAAGCCAAAACAGTTCATACTTTGGATGGAGCTATCACTACGAGCTCCTTTATAGGCATCATCTTACCACTCTTTTACGATAATCATAAAAGCCCATAGCCAGTTATATCTAGGAGCCAGAATAACATGGTTTTGTGAAATACTAGTAAAATACTAGTAGCTTTTATTATACCACTACCATATCACTTTTCTTGTAAGCATATTCAATACAACTCTTTTTTTTTTTTTTTAGAAGTATCTCTCCTAGAAAGAGTTTAGTAAATCCACCTGTAAAATGCTGGATATAGATGCCAGCCCAGTTATTATGGCAGGAAGTCAATTGCCCATCAGCGACTGATTAAGTCAATGATGAATCCAGAATCTTAATATCTACGAGCTTGCTGACTAGGACTCTGGCTGAGAGATATACTTTTTAGTGTCTATTAAGCTTGTCCTCAAACAAAAGACACTGAAGAGCTATTTTCCCTCATTAAAAAAAAAAAAAAAATCATGCCACCCAGTATAATCTTCCTTCTTTGATCCATTCCCTAAACAAACTGAAAAGTGACTGAGAGGATTATAGGCTTTTCCTATCAACCACCCTGAGCCTGAGGGAACTCGAAGAATCCTGGAATCGATTTTGAAAAACCAACTGGACTAATTCTTTTGTGGGAAAGGGCCAGGGGATGGGAAGCTAATTTTTCTTTTTTAACGTACCATCTATTTATTTGTACAGATGTATGTGTAAATGAGTGAGTGTGATTCACAATGTACCCATACATCTTCTGCTGGCTGGCAAGGCACAATGAAAAGAAAGCAAAGATAATGAAAAGAAAACAATACAGGAAATACATACCAACTACGTCCATATTTTCTCTAGCGTGAAAGTTACCAGAATTGTTGGTTACTTTGTATTATATTTAACTAAAACCAAGAAAACAGATACCAAATTTAAAAAAAAAAAATCTTATGTTAAAAGCTTTAAGCTTGAGATTTTAAAAATGTAAACAAAATTCAATACATTTTATTTGGAAATTTGGTGCTAAGTTTTTATTTGAAAGTTATTGAATTCTTTTTCACTTGAGAAAATTATTAAATCTCTCCTTCACTGTATGGGAAATTGAACAACAAAAATTGTTGATTTACTTCTTCCCTAAAGTCTCTTAAAAGGCAGCTAGTGAGTGCTACGTTTTAAACCACAGTGGGCTGAAGGGGCTGTTTATCTGCCTTTGTTGTTATGGAAAATAAATGCTTTTTGATTCATGGATTTAAAGACTGCATAGTTTATTCTGATTTTAGAACAGACTCCAGGATTATTTGAAAAAAAAAAAAACACTTATTTAAAGAATTAGAGTTTTAAAAAATTGATTAGAAAGTGGTGACAGGTATTATTTAGATGTAAACATGTGCACACACACACACACTCGTACAGGCATTTCAGAAAGATGGTAAGACAAGGATTCAGCGCTTCTCAATATGTCTTTATTCGTAAGAGTGAGATCTCAGGATAAAAGTAGAAGAAAATTGAGGTTGGGAGATTTAGAATAGATAGACCCATTGCTTTCAAAGAAGCAATTTCCATATTATGTTTCATAGAACCTGAAATAGCTTTCCTATTTCATCTGTGTAGACCACATTTAGTAAAATGCAGACTCAGGAACTATTTGTAATCTGTATAGTTTTCTAACCTGCTTCACAGGCAACAAAAGTGAAAACAGACAAATGGGACTACATCAAACTAAAAAGTTCTGCACAGCTAAGGAAACAGTCAACAGAGTGAAGAGACAACCTGTAGAATGGGAGAAAATATTTGCAAACCATACATCTGATAAGGGGTTAATATTCAAAATATATAAGAAAGTCAAACAACTCAATAGCAAAAAAACAAATAACCCAATTAAAAACTGGGCAAAGGACCTGCTATGGTTTTAATGTTTGTGTCCCCTCCAGAATTCATGATGAAACTGAATCCCCATGCAACAGTATTAAGAGGTGGGGCTTTCTGGAGGTAATTAGGCCATGGGGTCTCCACCCTCATGGATGGGATTAATGCCTTATAAAAGGGCTAGAGGGATCTGGCTAGCCTTTTGGCTTTACCACATTTCCACAACGTGAGGACATAGTGTCCATCCTTCCAGAGGATGCAGCAACAAGGCACCAGCTTGGAAGCAGAGACCAGGTCCTCACTAGACAGTGAATTTGCCAGTTCTTTCAGCTTGGACTTTCCAGCCTCCTGAACTGTGAGAAATATATTTCTGCTCTTTATAGATTACCCAGTCTAAGGTATTTTGTTATAGCAGCAAGAATGGACCTCAAAGAGACATTTCTCAAAAGAAGACATACAAATGGCCAACAAGTATATGAAAAAATGCTCAACATCACTAATCATCAGAGAAATACAGGTTAGGACCATGGTGAGGTATTGCCTCACGGCTGTCAGAATGGCCATTATGAAAAAGACAAAAGCTAGGTGTTGGCGAGGATGTGGAGAAAAGAGAACCTTTGCACACTGTTGGTGGGAATGTAAATTAGTACAGCTATTATGGAAGATGGTATAGACATTTCTCAAAAAATTAAAAATGGAACTACCATATGTTCCAGCAATCTCACTACTGGGTATGTAAACAAAGGAAACAAAATCAGTATATCAAAGAGATATCTGTACTTTTATGTTCATTGCAGCATTATTTATAATAGCCAAGATATGAAATCAACCGAAGTGTCCATCAATAGATGAGTGGTTAAAGAAAATATGTTATATATACAAAATGGTATACTATTCAGCCTTAAAAAAGAAGGAAATCCTGTCATTTGTGACAACATGAATGCACCTGGAGGACATTATGTAACATGAAATAAGCCAGGCACAGAAAGACAAATACTGCATAGTCTCCCTTATGCTTGGAATCTAAAAAAGTTTAACTCATAGAAGCAGAGAGCAGCAGGTTGGTGGTTGCCAGGGGTGGCAGGGGGTTCGAGGTAGGGGATTGTGGGGGAGGAATTGGGGAGATGTTGGCCAAAGGATATAAAATTTCAGTTAGATAGAAGGAATAAGTTCAAGAGTCTATTGTACAACAACTATAGTTAATAATGTATTGTATTCCTGAAAATTGCTGAGAGTAGCTTTTAAGTATTTTCACCACAAAAATATTTATGTGAGGTGATGCATATGTTAACTGGCTCAATTTGGCCATTCTACTATGTATACATATTTCAAAACATCATGTTGTACACAATAAATATATACAGTTTTTATTTGTCAATTACAAAATAAAGAAGGAAGGAAGGAAGGAATTAAGGAAGGAAGGAAGGAAAGAAGTTTGTCCAGATCCAAAGCACACACCCACTGTTACTGAGATGTATAATTCAGCCGTATGGATAAGCTTCTGATAGACATTGTGACGTCATTAAACGTTAACATTAGTGGCCTCCTACCACAACCCACTATGCTTTTATTTTCCATTGCATTTTTGCTGTAACTTTGTCGATGTGACCTTGGGTGTGTCAAAACTACTTTGGAACACTATTTTCTCATCTGTAAAAATGAAAAATTGAATTACTCTTAGCCTGAAGTTATGCAGTCTCTCCCTTGCTGCTCTTTCTTCACATGCACTCTAAAGACTTCTTTCCTGGCCCGAATTTTGGTAACACAAACCAGTTAAAACTGTATTTTACATATACAAGACCAAATTAAAATACAAGTATCATTATTATTTAGCACTTATAATAGACCAGGCACTGTGCTAGAAAAGAAAAATAATAATTATCTAACCTGCTTGTGAAGTAGTGGTATAACAGACAACACAGCTGCTAAATGTGGTGGCTTTCCACTTCATCCTCAGAGTGTGGAACTATAGGTACAATGACAAAACCGTGGTCTCTACCTGCTTGGACAGGACCATGGGAAAAAATGAGACTAAATGAATCTGACCTCATGGTGCCCATAAACTATAGCTAAGCAATATAGAGCTATCTCCTTGAAGTACAGATTGAAAGTCAACAATGAGCTATGCAAGTCAACAAACTTGAGAAATAACTAACCAGGGGAAAAAAATCTAGTGAACAGAGAAGATTATTCTGATTTAAAGTGATAGGAACTACAATATTCTCTTTACACTTTGTTCAAGGAAGTCACAACTTCATGCAGTCAGAGAAATACACTTTCAGATGATGAGACCCAGGGAGGTGGGCTACATGACTTGTTCTGTCTCATACCTGAAGTTAGAGCTGCATTCAGAACTCATGAATCCTGACTCCAGGCCAGTGTTATTCCTAATCTGTTTGCTTGTTTTAAATTTGTAATGAGTTACCATGAATGTCAAAATAAAGTCCCTTCAAGTTGCAGCAGTGTGACAAGGATAATTGGTAGACGTGAACATGGCTTCCTGGGCAGGACTTGTTAGACTGATTTGTTCAGACATGTTTGTTTCTGCTGTATCACTCATTTTTTGGTACTTTATGTTCATATTCAATCTGAATTCTTTCACTTACTGAATTACCTAAAACATCCTTCAGTTGGCCAGCGTCAGTCACCCAAGACCAGTCCTGAAAACTTGAACTAATATAACTAGAAAGTCATCAGGTCCTCAGAAACATCTAGCTCACTCCTTCTGTTCTATGATTTCAAAGTGCTGTGCTAAATGTGAAGAACTGTAAAATGATTGCTTTTTAAGTGTGTGGTCATTTAAAAATAGTACATAATATTTTGAAAATCAGTTTATACTCAACTCTTCAAACACTAACAGCACACAAGGGTATACTTGCATTCTTTTCAAACACACTACTTTTCAAATATCCTAATAGCACATCTTATTTCAGTATCACAATTTATAGTAATTATCTATACCTACATCATTTTACATGTCTACATATGTATATAGTTTGTTTCACGTATATTTATTTATACTTCACAACACATGAAACTGAACATGTGAAAGCATAGATCATGCATTTTCCTTATTCTTTTCTTTTTTCCATGCCTTGTAGCTTCTTACAAAACTTTATAGAGTATTTATATAGGGTGAATGTCCAGTAAGTGTTGTTTCCTGATTAAATAGGAAAAACTCGTTAAATGTGCAAAAGGCCATTTCAGAGTTATGTCTACGCAGTGCTTATTGTGCGTCCTCTATTGTGGACGAGAAGTAATTTGCTAAGTGGAAGAACAGAACAATTAGGTTAAATATCAGGTAACGCCTGTTAGCAGTTAGACTATTGAAACATTTCTACAACAATTTACATGAGAGAGAAACAAAGCAAACATTTATCGAACCCTGTGGCGTACAGAGCTTGTTATGCATCTGATCTCACGGAATTCTCACAGCAAGTTTAGAAAGTCATTATCATTATCCCCATTTTAGGGCTGACCCCCTGGCTCACTCGGGAGAGTGCGGCGCTTGGGAGTGCCTAGTCCACAGGTTCGGATCCTATATAGGGATAGCCAGTGCGCTCACTGGCTGAGTGCGGTGCAGGCAACACCATACCAAGGGTTGCGATCCCCTTACCGGTCACAAAAACAAACAAACAAACAAAAAAGACTATCCCCGTTTTACAGATGAGGAAATTGAAGCTCAGAGAGACTACATAATTTGCCCATGTTCATTTGCTAGAAAGTAGCTAGAATTCAATCCCTGGGCTTCTAACTCCAAAGCCATTACATTAGTCTGCCTCCAGCTTAGATGATGTTCCAGCATTTATCTGTCTTGCAGGAAAGTTTTGAGAAAAAGTCTTTCGACTTGAAAAATGTTCTTTTAGTTTGGGAATGCTTCCCAGCTTTCCCCATGTTCCCTTATAATATCCCTCATGTTTCCAAAAGGAAATTTAATGTCAGCTGGAAGACAAGGACAGGATCCAGGATAGCAAGTGATAACCGCCCCCAACCCCGTCGCCAGTTTAAAGCACATTAACATATTCTACAACACGGATGAACCTTGAAAATATTGTGCTAAGTGAAATAAGCCAGACACAGAAAGACTTACATGAGGTACCTATAACAGGCAAATTCATAGAGACAGAAAGTAGATTAGAGGTTACCAAGAGGCTGGGGGAAGAGTGTAGATGGGAGTTATTGTATAATGGGTGCAGAGCTTCTGTTTGGAATGACAAAAAAGTTCTGGAAGTGGATGGCAGTGACGATGGCACACTAATGTGAATGTACTTAATGCCAGTGAACTATATACTTAAAAATTTTATGTTATGTATATTTTATAAACAAAACAATCACCAAAAAAAAAAGAGGAAATATATAGATGATTATAGTAATGACTATAGTACTATAAAAGGGACAAAAAACCAAGTACATTGTAGTACAAATGAGGTAAGGATAGATAATGAACAAAAAAAGAACCCCCTTCTGCCCCCCCACACAAAGGTACCTTGACGCCTTAGGAATTTGGTTGTGGATGAGCATGATAAGCAGTGTACCTCTCTCACACTAACACGGAAAGTCTCTGTTTTATCAGGGTTTTATGTAAATTTAGTGTCTTCTCTTCAATTGACAAAGATCCAGAGCCAAATACATGGTAGAATTAGAGCTGGGGGTGACAAGGTAGGGATGTGCCTAAGAATTAATGGCAGAAATTACCCTGGAAGGTTGACACAATAATAATGGGAAGCAGGAGACCTGAACATCATCAGGGGTGGACTCATGGGCTGCTATGGGTAAACAGGGGGGTTCCTGACCACACACCTCTAAGATGCTTATACCTGTGGCTAACCCATAGTTTCCACAATCTTAAGACCTGGTTCAATATCTCAAAGCAGATGGTCTGCTTCATTTGTCTCTAAGGAAAATTTGGTTCAAAGTTTGAAATGCAGATATTTCTTTTTCTTAAGAGGAATTTTTCTCTTACCTCCCAGATCTTCTCCAGCTGTTCAAGGATGTTGGAAACCCCAGGAAACAAAGGTTGACCCTGGAGCATTTCAATAAAGATGCAGCCTGCACCCCTAGCAAAGGAAACAAGAGTAAACCTGACACTTTCAAGGAAACCAAATATGCAAACTGGACTACCAGAATTTCTCCTCCAGAGAAATATTTGGGGGACAATTAAATAGGGACCACATGCTATTAAAAGTCTTGGGCAAAAAAAGAAAGTCCTTATATCAAATAAAACGAAGAGCAGCCCGAGCCCGCAGATTTTTGTTAACACAAAACACAACCAGCAGCAGTTACGAACATGATATAGTTAGCAAACATTTTATGCAATTCAAGTCATTAGCTATCCATTTTATGAGAAGAGGAGAAAGTATTAAATGTCCAAATTACATACCCCTTTTCACTGAATCTAAGATGCTATTGCTGTTGAGACATTATTATTTTAAGTACCATTAAGAACAAAAAACCCACAAGTTAAACTATGACATGATCAAAATGTTTATTTTATACTTATTCAAAGGGTTGTTATAAATTTAATTAGACATAGATTATTTTATCATACAGCATACTTGTACGTACCATTAAGAACAAAAAACCCACAAGTTAAACTATGACATGATCAAAATGTTTATTTTATATTTATTCAAAGGGTTGTTATAAATTTAATTAGACATAGATTATTTTATCATACAGCATACTTGTACATGCAAAAAAAATTAAGCAAAATAAATTAGTTTAGGTATTCCTAAAACATTTTTTACATTCAGCATTCGACTCAGACTCTTTGATATCTTTGTTTACCCATGGTATCATCTTCTATATTAAGAGTTTGATGATGCAGCATTTCTTAAAATAATGTATAAAAGAACTGGTGCTGTGCTCCTAAGCTGGCTTTTGTAATTACATAGAGTTAGCTTACTTTTGACTCCTGCCTAAAGAATGCATGTCTGATTTATTCCTTCTCCACAATTTGGTTCCTAAGGGTTTAAAAAAAAAAACCTCCCTCCCTCATTTGCAGGGTTTTCTTCTAAGTCATTGACACACACTCTGCAAGTTTTGATGATGGCTCACTTGACATTCACACATATGCAATCATAACAACAGTCACAACTGCAGCCTGGCTGACTTATATATTGTAAGATGCTTCTGACTGTAAGATGCTTCTGGTTGTAAGATGCATCTTGATTTAACAGTAAATGTGCATCTTAAAATAGATTAAATAGAGTGATATATAAATTTTCTTTCCGACATGTTGGTCAAACTGGAGGATAAAGCTACTTTGGATATAATGACTACCTTTTTTCTTTTTACTGATTTTTGCTCTATAAGGGACATCTTGATATGTGACACAAGAATTTTGATCAAATGTAACTTATTAATCTGGTAAAGAGTATCTTGAGGTGAATTTTTGGAATTATTATAATTTTAACGCTCCTTATTAACTTGTATTTAAATATCTGTGTTCTTTTTGCTTCCTGTCTTTAAAACAACAGTTATAAAAGTATAAATGAAGCAATACATGGAGGAGAATAAAAGTAACAGAAAACTGTGAAATGGTTAAAAACCATCCTGATTGGGGCCGGCCCGGTGGC